CGAAATGGAAGTAAGCCCAACAATTATGAAACAAGAGATTCCTCGAAACCCAACTTTTCTTTGTATATATCACTTTAATGAGTCTCAGAATTCAGTCCTCCCTTTCCCGTTTATGAAGAGATGCAAATTCGCGCCAGTCGGTGCTGAAATAAATGACTTGGGGCCGGATAATAGTAACAGTTAGGAACGGATGGCACAAACTTATCCCATTCAAACCGATCTGAACCGATCCGAACCAATGCGATCCAATTCTAACCGATCCAAACAAATGCGATCCAATTCGAACTGATGAGATCAGATCCAACCCTGAGAATATATCTTTATTAGGCTCATAGACGCTGCATATTGGAATGTCTATAGCCTCCACGTAGCAAATTCACGGTCCGATGCTGGAATTCCGCCTGGTTATTGTCATAAAGAATTTAGAGCGTGGCCAAGTAGCGAAAATAAGGTCAAACCACTTCTATACGGTCGTGTAACTCCGATGCATCAATGCTGACCTTTCGTCCGAACGGGTCCGGACAAATACGATCCACTTTGGACCGATAAGATCGGATCAGCTCCAACCCTGGCGTCCGGTTGGGCCTGCCGGAATGCTCGAGCCGGCAACGCGCAAAGAGAATGACAAACATGTAGACATGGCGAGCCGGAAAAAGGATCATTCATTGCAGACCGGTCGGCCCTAAAATCAATCCGTGAATGATCCTGCGACAGGATCAGAAACAACCACCAACATGGGAAAAGTGGCAGTTCAAGATAGATGGCGGCCATTAGACCATTTCATTGTCGAGGCCAAAAATCGGGATGCTTCTCATCATTCATGTTTGCAGATTTGTCCGAAAAGGTCCTGCAACGCCGTACCATTCGTGCATAGTTTGCGACAGGACGGCCTGCAATACAGACGAAGAATCCGAATCTAAAACAGCCGTTTGGGCAAAAACTCACGCAATCACACCCTCTTTTCGGTACCTAATTTGGCGCGAGTGCAGTTGATGCATGAAGCTGACTTGGTTGTGGCCCAACTACGCAAGGCGTCGAGCCTGCGATACAACCACCTGTTTAGGCACATGACGACTCTTGGCGAATATGTGAGAAGATTGTATTCGGCATGACAGTCTCATCAACAGAAAAAGGGCATGACAACAAGTCACTCACCGCTTTGGGCACCCCAAAGGAGTACTCCGAGCGCGATCAACCGGAACATCACGGTTCGCTGGTCCGGGAGCCCTAGCGATGCCACATCACAGGCTGGCGGTGCTCGAAATTCACGCGGCAGTTGCCGACCGGCGACTCAGCCTAGGCACAGATAGAGGTCCGGGTAGATCCGAAGAAGGAGGAGAGTTGGAGAACCACATTCAAAGGGCGAAAACTCATTCCGATTAACCAGCAGGACACGATTGCAGCCTCTGGCATGGTCGTGACACGGTTATGCCAGCTGCCTTGCCGACAGCTGATTGGCTAAACTGTGGACCAATCAAAAGTCGAATTTAGTCTCTACACATACTACTATATTCGCATTTGGATAGAATGATTTGTTTGATTGAAAAATTGAGAGAAAATATTTTATTGAGACTAGTAAGATAATAAATCCGATGCTTTAATACAAATGTTGATACACATATACGCATATACACATATAAATAAATGAATAAATAAATAAATAAATAAATATATATAAATGTATAAATTTACTCGAAGATAACAGGACCAAGGTGGTATGACCCTCGGTATGGTCGCAGTATCCTTTCGATTAATAGAAGTGGTCTGACCTTGTTTTTGCAACTTTATC